TTGTGAGACATTTCCATATTGAGAGAGGAATTACAAACTATGCAACAACATTTCCAGCAAATTGAAACAGAAAGAGAATAGGAGCCTACCAAAATTAAAGAAAAACATGCTAGAATGGACCAAGAGCATACAAAATTTTAGCAATAAGATGATCAATTAGATCATCTTATGAATTTTGTGCAACAACAATTTTCAGGAACTAATCTCAGTAGTCCACCAACTCATATATTATATTTAGTAAATATTTATATTTTTTAATATTAAAAATAGCTTATTATTAAGTGTTAAAACTTGTATAATATTATTCAGTACGTTCTTGAGCACGATAGTGACCAAAGTGAAAAAATTTCCTCATCAAATGACAGTCTTCCAAATCTATGCAGTTATCAATTTCATACATTTTAAATTTTTTGGTAATGTACTAAAATAATTTGAATGTTATTATACTAATTATTAAACTTTGTGTTAATTACATGCATATTTGATCATGAATTAAGTATTTATTAATTTCAGTTTCCGCATTTGAGTTTGTTTTTATTTCTTTTAACATTTTTTGTTAATGAAAATAATAAATATTAAAAGAATTTTTTTTAAAAAAAAAATTAAATTTCTTAATTCGTAGCATTCATATTTAAGAATGTTGCTAAATTCTAAATTTAGTGATGTTTGTACCATAAAATGTCATTAAAATTAGTGACATTTTTATCAAAAAATTATTGCTTAATTAATGGCGTTCTTATAATAAAAATGCCACTAAATTAGCAGCATTTTTATGATATAAACGCCACTAATTTAGCTGTAATTATCCTGACAAATGTTGCTTAATAGAGCACTGTCTTATGATATAAATGCCACCATATTAGCAGTATTTTTTTGATACAAATGTTACTAAATTATTGGTATTTTTTAGATACAAACACCGCTAAATAACGACATTTTATAAATAATGTTGCTATTTTTTTCGACGTGTGTATTGCCGATATTCTTAGTGGTGTTTTTTACAAACGTTGCAAATCGTTTAGTGGCATTTATAAATGTCATTAAACGTTAAAAAAAAGGTCATTAAAGACCTAAACCCTTGTAGTGCCTACCAAATTATCTTGACCACAGGACTAACCATGGGCAACATAAGCTGCCCTAGAACCCTTTAACTTTAACTAGAATAAGACCATTTAGGTATTATCTAAACATCTTATACTCTCTTACTTTCATACTTTTTGCTTTTTATTTTTCTATTTAATTCACCTCTGATTTGAGCATTGGAGCACAAACACTAAGGAAACTTCCAACCTTTGCCTTTAACCGCTCTCTTTCTCTCTCTTGTGTTTTCAAGGTTTTACCCTTCAACTTGGAACTTGGCACAAACAGTGACCGATCACACCTACTTTAAAGAGAGATTAGTGACAAGTCTTTAATTTTCTTTAGGTTTAATGACTGAGTTCCCTTAACGAAAAATTATTATAACAAATTTTTATGAAAATTACATTTTATTTTAATTTTATTTTCTTGAAAATAAATGTCAATTATTATAGAAATCTTATCTAAATTTTTTATCATTTAAAAAAAAAAAAAACCCTCACATAGAAATTTTTTAGAAATCATCCATTCTTAACCTTTAAAATTTCATCATTGGAATAATTACTATTTATCTTAATAATTTTATTAAATTTACATTTTATTTGTTATTTGTTTGAAAATAATCATTAATTATTTTTTATTGAAAATTTCCCAAAAATTTCTACAATTTGAGATATTCTAAACAAAAAATTTCATCTTGAAATTTTTACAGAATTAATCATTTGTAATTCTTTAGAAATTCGTCATTGAAATTATTTTTATTTATTTTCAAAATTTTATAGAAATTATGTTTATATTTTATATTTTTATATTTTTTAAATTTTATCAAAATTTTTTCCCATTTTGAAAAATATTATATTTACATGATTTAAATAATTATTATACCAAGAAAAATTAAATTTGCAAACTACATATTTTTTAATTAACCAAGCGTGTCATTGGTTGTAATTTGCAACTTCACTGTTTTGCTTACGCTATATTTTTTTAATTGGTTTTAGTTCTTAGGACAATTCCATTATTTCTGATGATGTTCTTACAATCCATCTGGTAAAAAGAACGGAACACATGGGAAGCACATCTAATAAACATTTTCAGTGAAGCGTTAAAAAAAAACACTGCATCGTCGGATTTTCTGACTGGCAATGTTTTCAGGGGTCAAGCACTCAAACTACATCTTTACTACTCACAAAGAGAAAAAAAAAAAAAAAAAGGAAAGGAAAAAGGGAGATTAATCTCATTTCTAGAGCCATCTGGGACATCAGGCTTTCTGGACAAAGACCAAATACATGTTTAAAGTTAATTTTTGTTTACTTGTTAAAGTTTCTTTTGTTTTAATATATTTTAATTTCTAACCTCAAGCCAAGAAAGAAACAGAAAAAATTGTCTACAGTGGTACAAAATTTTTGCTGCATCTGCCTTAAGAGATGTTCTCTGAGAAAATATATCTCAACTCTAAAATCTTTCAGCAATTTGATCCCACATGCAAATGTAGGTGAATATTTATTTTTTTTATTTAATTCATCATTCTACATTTTTTTTCTATAAAAATATATATAATATATTATGTACATTTAATTTTTTTTCACTTTGATACAGATTTTTTTTAATTGTTTCCCCAAGATTTTGAGTAAGATCATATTAGTAACAGTATTCTATATATATTTTTTACAATTACTAAAAGTATAAAAAACTACCATGGCTGATTATTTTCATAATAAAATATATCCAATTCATACTTTAAGTCAAGGAAAGTGTCTATTTATCGAGATTTTTCATCATTTTATGGATCAAGTATTACATTATTTTGAAGTTCAAAATTGACTGTCACACAAATTTAGAAAATACCTAATGAAGAGAAAACTTCATATCTACTTGAAGAAATTTAGAGTAACTAAGAAGTTTAATAATTTTGAATAATGCTTTTGAAAAAATATTTTGTTCTCAAATATTTGTTTAAAATTTAATATTATTATCCAATTAAAATAATTACTTTAATTTAATATTATTAGGCAATTAATATTATTTAAGTTATCCAAATGTTAATACTATAACTGCATTTAATTATATTTTTTAAAAAGACTGATTCAAGCACCGACATATATATAGTTTGCATTTTCAAAATTAATGAATTTTAGAGAAAATGATATCGATAATGAATAATTAGGAAAAATTATTTTAAAAAATTTGGAGTAGTGGAGGATTTTTGACAAAACTGTGGCAGATAAATATTCTGTTACAACATCCGTTACAGATTTTGGAGGCGAGAAGAAAATATATTTAAAGTTCTTCTTTGGATTATAAACCATTTTTTTAAATGAAAATTATTTTTTGCATAGATTAATTTTTTTCCTATGACACCAGTTGATGAATGCTTACGAGCCTCTGACTTGAGCATATAAGTCTACCTGTAAGTGCAAATTATTAAATATATTTAAAGATCCCTCGTGTAATATTACTTTGAAAAGAATGATACCCCATGGAAGCTTTAGAAAATCATTATCCCTTTTGCAATATGGGATGCAAAGCCAAGGTTAGTCCACCACCCCCACCCCCTACCACATCCCATCTTTCTCTCTGCTTTTTCACCAAAGCTGATTTTGACCACTTGAAAATAATTTTTTTTTCTATAAAGGTTCTATGAAAGCTTTTTATATTTTGAAAAATGTAATTGTGTTACATTATTTTTCTATATATTAATGGTAGAGTTTTTCTTTTTAATCCACGAGCAAGGATATATACTTGTCACGTATTTATTTAATAATTAAATAATAAACTATTTTTAGATATATCTTAAGTGAATATAAGCCAAAATTTTAAATTTATTTGTAAAATTACCAAATTTTACAATTAATACAATGAATAATAATCTATTATTTATTCTTAAATTTGAAATGATGTATTAAATGAAAACTATGTTTTAAAATAAAATTTTAATTAATTTTTATGTATGCTTTTAAACATTCATTAACTAAACAATATGTTATAATAAAATTATTTAATACATTATCAATTGAGTTCTTAAATTCATTAATGGTTAGAAGATTAATATATATTTTAAATTTAAAAATATACTAAAAATATATAATAATCTTTGAATTCGTTCGAAAAAATTTAGAACCTCTAAGAAGAATGTGTGAAATAATAATTCGCAATATAATATTAAGATATACAAAGGTTGGTGGTGGATGAGTGGGCGATGCACCATATTATATGGAGACAAGGGCTTATGCATTGACCCCACAAAATATAACTGTTATGGCCCTTGCCCCTTTTCCAAGAATCCCATTAAAATGTTCAATCACAGCCGTTGATAGCCATCAAATATCAAACAAAGCATATACTCTCCCCATCAAATAAGGGGGGCTTTGGAGGGGAGTCCTAGATGCTAGATTTCTAACGTTCCAAAGCCGTCTAATCTGGAATGAAAGGCAGTTGATTAAGCAATCATGTGGCTGTAAAAGGACAGCTTTTGATGTTCCGATGATTTCTTTATATATAGTTATCATTTTGTAAAAAAAGACAAAATTACAGTCATGTCACACCGATTAGACCAAAACGCCACTCCAGAGCAAAATACACAAAAGGGTTGAGATCCATGGCCTTATTAGATTTTTCATACAAACAAAAAACATGGACCCCATAGAAGAGAGTCTCCTGTATCATAATTGATGCAGCCGGTCGCATCCAAGTACGGAAACCAGGCAGCCTGCGTGCGATTTGCAAACTGCTTCCATTTGTACGATCTTCGAAGGTAAATAGTTAACGACCTGACAGCAACCTTTACAACTACAACTTCTTCGATCTCCAAGCCCTAAAACTTTTTTATTTCATTTTTTATAATTGAACATCAAAAAAAAAAAAATTTAGATAAAAAAAAGTATAGAGCTATAGGTTGCCAGCCTGCCAAGTGGTATATCATTTGCATGTGGCAGATTCCACGGGCCCTACCTTTAACGGGTTGCGGCAGCTACGCTGGGGATGGAAACGGATGATGTGGCGGAGGCTATTACGGAGTCGGACGGTACAATCGTGGCAACACGATTTTCGTCATAGCAGAATTGGCTCACAATCATGGTGCTTGGTCCCGCCACAAGTCTCTCCCATGCCTCGTCAGCCTCGTCGCCGCACTTTAGGAATGCTTCCGTGGCGTCAAGCCGGTGCATTCTCCAATTCCATTTGTCATAAAGCCAGAGGATTTTTTGGTATTGGCGACAAGCTAGTATACATGTGTTTTCCTTGATTTTAGAAATAGCTGTGTCGAGCAACCTAGCTCGAATTTTAGCATCAAGAATTGATTCAGCACGGAAATATTGGTCCAATTCGGGGACCCCAATTGCACGTCTAATCCCCTGGGAATAATCGGCCATTGGATCAAACATTTGTCTAACCTCATCAACCAAGCCTGCTTGCACCATCTTATCAACCCGTTCGGACACGAATGAGTGTAACACGGGCAATGACACATCAACCCACAGGAAGCAACATTCGTACCTTAGTTGAAATTCAGGACCATTGTTAACCAATGCCTCGATGTACGAATTGGAGCCACCGGCAATGATTGGGAGGCGGCCTTTGGTGAGTATAGATTCAACAGCAAGTGTTGCATGGTGTCGGAAATCCATCGATGTGAAATTCGAGTTGGGGTCTGCTATGCCTAGCAAATGGTGCGGGACCCCACGGCCCTTCTCTTCAGTGACTTTGTTAGTTACTATGTCGAGGCCTTTATAAACTTGCATTTTGTCTGAATTTACAATCTCAGCTGGAAAACGGTTGGCGAGGTCGATTGCCAGACGGGACTTGCCGGTGCCGGTTGCTCCCATTACGAACACCACCTTTTCTTTCCTACGGAAGAAAAGCTCCAGGTTGAGCGCCAAATTCACTCGGGGTTGTACTTTTTTGCAGGCAGACATGGAAAGTTTCATGTTAAACCCTGGCAAAGTTGACAAAATATAGTACGCACATAGTTAGAAGAAAATCAGTTGAATATTCAGTTTGAAAATGGAAAAACGAAATGATTTTAAGTTTCTACTCTCCCTAATTTCTATAGCTATGGAAATTGGAGAATGGAGATGGCTAAGAAAACAAAACCATAGCAAGTGGAGCTAGCTTTCTGTATTTATCCTAATGAAAGCATGAAACAAACGACACAGGGAAAATTCAATCACCCAACATTTTTTCATGGACCACAAAACCTTTTATTCTCAAATATGCGGCGACCTGTAGAAGAAAATGGCCTTTCCAAGCTGCCTATGCAGAAAACGAAAAAAGGAAAGAGAGAGAAATCTGCAGAGAAAAGAGAAAAGATAGAAAGGAGAGAGCGAAAAGAGAAAGTATTAATTGTTGCAGAAACTGGGTTTGAAAATGGTGATGATGGATGTGAAATGAATAGCTAGAGGGAAGAAAATTGGGGAGATGGTTTTTTTTTTTTTTTTTAAGTATATGCAAAAGCAACTATTTTTGTGTTCCTGTTTTGAGCACCACAAAAGGGTATATATTGAAATATTTCTCGTATATTAATATTTACCCTGAAAAGGAAAAACAAACGATTTGGTGATTTAAAAAAAGCGCGAGCGATTGTATGAAGGAAAGATTGAATCTTTTTTTTTTTTTTTTTTTGGGGGGGGAGGGGGGGTTGGGAAAGAATGATTATTACAAATTAGAGGAGCTGTCTATCCCACTTGCAGTTCAAATATTATCACAACCTGCACAACTATGAGAAGATGAGGCTGGGTATTTATGGTGCCAGGAAAACAGTACCTTAAGTCTTAGTTTAACAAGTGGTTTCACAGGGATTTCATCTCTGAACTCATCAAGGAACACATCAAATTTGTTATTTTATTCATTAATAGATATTTATTTCTGGTATTATTTTCTTTTAATGATGGGATGTCTAATTATGTTATAGAAAAAATCCCCAATTTAACCTAACAAAAACTATAGATAAGAAAAGCAAGACAAACATTTTCTGTGCCCAGTGGCCGTTTCTGTTTTCATTTTTCATTTTTTTTTTAAGTTTTATATGCATTGTTGGATCTTTTTTTTTTTTTTTGAGGTGTCCATTTATAATACAACCAATAGATTTGTTAATTTTATTAACCGAAAGATGTTTAGAAAAAAAATTTTGGAGTATCCAACGAAAATTTTTTCTTTAAATTTTTTTGTTCCTTAATTTTTTAAGATGTGTATGGACACTATACTCAAGAACAGAGATTCACCTATGTTGTAAGTCAATCTTTGAAGCTGGTAGCACGGATATTTCATGGAACCTAAGTGACAAGTCATGGTAGGTCAAAGGGTAGGCTGACTTGGGTTTGGCTCCAAATTATAAATTAGGATTATATATATATATATATACGAGTGTGTATTTGGGATCACATAATGGATTTTCGGACAGACATATTTGCTATACGAGTCACCTTTTTCGTTTTTTTTTTTCTTATATTTCATGAACACTTCCATGAATTTATATTGAATGGTCATCAGTTTAATGTAATCTGTCTTTGCATGTCTACAGTCTTGCTATTTATGAAAGAGTTAGTCAACTGATCACCGGAGAAGTGGCTCACAAGAGGATTCCTCTGTTTTTTTTCTTTGTCAGTTTTGTCAATATATAAATATATTATGGGATGGGTGTACTTCATGTTATGTCCTGATCCCCTATATAAAATTGCAGCATATTACCCAACAATGTGGGTGGGCTAGTTGTTTTCAGAAAAAGCAGTGGGCAAAGAGAATTTCCATTTTAGTGGTTTTGATAAATAAATAATAGTTTTGTATCCGGTAGTGAAAGGGCAAGCTAAACTCTTGTATTCAATTGAGAATTATTATTCAGTTAAGAATTTTTGCCTTTAGATGCCACAGGGTGATTCATTGGTGTTTAATTTCTTTTACTAAAATGTTGCTGACAAGACATGTTAATTAAACCAGAAATAATAAGAACTCCACGCTTTTATATTGCCTACGATCCAGAGAATAGAAAATTCACAATAGAATTTCAAACAGTTTGTTGCAGTGTTTGCTAAGTGAAAAGAAGTAAAACCTATTTTAGTAATGCCGAAACCTGTGGTCTAGTGGTAGAGTATCGAGCTTTTAATTTTAATGATTTAATTAATTTTTGGCAACCATAAATACAAATAAAATACTCTGTAAAAATGAATGTGATTTCCGCAGATTGAGGGCTTCCAAGGCTGTAATTTAATTCTTCCAGATCATTAGCCTTTCATTTATTCATTAGAAAAGGAGGCATGCATTTTTTTTGTATTTAGTGGCAAGGGTTTTTGAGCTTTGCCCAATATATTTTCTTTTCTATCTGATCCAAGTAGGTTTATTTATGCAGATTTAATGAATTCATGAAAAATTATCTTCTTATAATTTCTTAGCTAATTGGAATCCAAATAAGAAAAAGAGGAACACACTTTTTTTTTTGTCACTTAGAGTATGTCTCAATGTAAAAGTTAAAGAGCAAATTAACAATAATCAGGTGAAAGTAGTCTTAAACTAGCAGTAGCAGGATATCACCATCGCCATGGGAGTATTTTTTTCTATGTAATCAAGAACAATTAAAATTCCGAATTCAGTTTCCATAAATAGCAGTCTCTGGAATCATATAGACCTGAAAAGTTAGAGAATAAGTATTGTTTCAGTACAGATATTGGTAGGTTTCTCTTAAGGAATATTGAGAGTGTAAAGGTAGTTTGGAAATTAATGCAGCAAAGTTGATTGACTATACATTCAAGAATCTCTGTCTTTTCCTTTTCCTCTAATTCTCTCTTTTCTTCCCTTTTTTATTATTTGGTATTCACTTCCCTTCTTTTCTTGTTGAATTATTGTGAATTAGCTAAATCACAACTCTGTTCACTGCTTTGACCAAACAACTTTGCTGAATAGGACACTGAAATTGTTTGAGCATCCAATCTTGTGAAAAACTTGAAAAGAGTAATACAAGAAAATATAACAAAATTTGAATTTTGATATTATATTAAACATTCAACTTAAAATCAATTATTAATAGAAGAGATCAACGTGAATATAAAATCATAAAAAAGCTTAATTCTTAATATATGTAAAATGACATTGCTTTAACAGAAATATTAGTGAAAATCACAAAAATCGGGATATATATTACTGCAAGCCAATTGGTAATATGCAGCAGTACTAATAAACTGATGATATACTATTACTGTTTGCAGTTAGTATGCTTTTTGACATTTCTCGTTATGGATCATACTTTACGAGCCATTATAACTAATTGGAGGCAGCAATGAAATTGCAGATCAACATCGACCTATTCGGGCATTCTTCTTGTCCAAGTAAGTATAAGTAGACAGTCAAGCTACCAGGGAAGCATTACCTCATTTTTATTTTTTTTTACATATACTGGAGCATCATTAGGCCCTTTTCCTTTTGATTGTTATTTAAGTGTTCCATCAATAATTGTTGGACCCTAATGGCCAAGTCAACGTGTTGATCGTCACACTCGCCAAGTCAACACAAGGTCACCATTCGTGCCAACTTGCGCACAAGTGCCAATCGCCATAGAGCAACTTATATAGGTGTCCAGTCAACCAATCATCTCAGCCCAGGATACTTGTCCATTGGCCACCGAATGTCAACTACTATGCCCCTATCATATATAAGGTAAGAGCAGACGTAGGTTCATTCATTTTGAAACCTTTTTCCTGAACCTTAAGCTTTCTTTCCCTTTTCTCATTTTCTTATCTTCACCTCTTTCACTTGATTGACTTGAGACTCCAAAATCTTAATTCGGGCGCCCTTAACCGTGATTTCTCATTACAAATTCTTCTTATCTCAGGATTACCTTTCAGTTAAACTCCACGTCACTACCACAAAAAATACCATCAACAATGATGATAATGAAAGTCTTTAGAAAATGGTATCTAATTACTTTAATCAAACACTCCCAAAGCGAATAAACAACTTTAATAACAAGATATTGTGAATCTGAAAGTGACTGAAAAGAAATTTTTTTAGTTTGTCTCATCACACATGTTATTACCACTTAATCCCTGTCCTTTAACAAGTTTCACTGTCCACAACTCACGTTTTTGGGCTCTCAAACCAACGAGCTAGACTGATTCTGCTAATAATCATTAGGAAGGAGATTATTAAACATTATCTAAGGCATCAACTTGTCAAATAATTTAAGTTAAAGATTGGAGAAGAAATATAAATCGTCAAAACTCGGGGTCTTCAATCGATGAAAAACGAAGTCAAGCATAAATTAAGATTGCAGAGAGTACATATTATATGCATTTATTTTTTCTGATGAATGATGGTTTGAGCATGCGGTTTGTATATAAGTGCTGAAATCACTTTAAATATCAAATTTCAAATGGAAGTGGCAGTCAAGATATGATTGAGAGATTAAAAGAACAAATGCCAGAATCTTTCTTTCTGAAGCTTAATAGAGACTTGATGGTCTTCCATTTCATTGAATATTCAAACACATTTAGAGCTGCACAAGCTAATCATTCCCAGCAAAACTTTATTTGGGGGCGTGAATTGAACTTTCCATTAGCTTTTCATGATTAATATGGCGCCACCATTGATTAAACAATTGACGGATGCCTTGCATTTGTTAAGGTAGGTTACCCATGACCATTCTAACTAAAGATTGAACAATAAAAAAATTTGAAGAAAACATTTTTCTAGACATTCCAAAATTTTTTTCTGAACACTTATAAAATTGATAAATTTATCCATAATTCTTCAGTAGATATTGTAAACCCAGAAACTATAGAATTGTTAATGCTTTAAATAACATGCCATCAAATTTACAAGCAAGAACTAAAAATCAATATTTTTGAAAATTGTAGATTATTTTTCTATTCATTTACAGTTTTCAAGTGAAGAAAACTACGCGTTTCAAAAAATATATATAACAATATATTATTTTAAATTT